AAACAGAACTCATCAGGCATCATCCCCTCCCTTTCCTGCTGTTCACCTGTGGCTGAGTCTACACCACACCCCTTCTTTTTTTTTTTTTTAGTATTTTAATAGAACATATTTTTTTTCCCCTTTATTTTATTTTATTTTTTTTAAAGTTGTAGATTTACAATTTTTTGTGCTTTGGTTTCAATTATACAATGATCAGATACCCATCCCTCCACCAGTGCCCATTTTCCACCACCATGGATAATATCCCTCCCACCCCCATCCCCCCATCCCCCCTGTCTCTGTGGCAGGGCAATCCCCTGTGTTCTCTCTCTCCTTTTGGGTGTACCACACCCCTTCTTATCTGCAATCAGCTTACCTCAGTGCAGGGGGCTCTTTTCCTGCCCCCTGTCCTTGCTGAACCCTGTATGTCCCGGGGTCCTCCCCTGCCCAGTCTCCGTTCTCTTGCCCAGTTCTGAACCCCTAGCCTGGTTCCGGGGATTCTTTGCATTCTCCTCCCCTCTCCTGCCTCCCCCCGACCCCCCCCCCCCCCCCGCACCCCATACACACAGTAACTGGCTAGTTTCTGAATCCCAAGGGACACTTCTGGCTCTCTGTACCAGGAGCCTTCGGAGACAGTCTTCTGCTGTTGATCGTTGCCTCCCTTCTTTCACTTGGTGACAACACACTCACCTGGGGGTTTCTTCCACTCTCTAGTTTCCCTCCTTGATGCATTTCATTCGACTACCCAGCAATATCCTGAGGATTCTCTGTGGACTGTAAGTGCCTACTCTATGCCCCGCCGTTGCTGGGCTGACCTTCGGGGAAGCCTCTAATGGTCTCTCGGTTTGGCAGGCCTGTCTCATCTCTGTCCCCTGGGCCTGGCATATGCCCGCTGCTTCTTGAGCGCCCAGTGATTGCCAATGGATGGTGCAGTTTATGGCATGATGCATCCCTGACCTTTCATTAGATGAAGTCCAAGTGACTCACCTTTTTTTTTATGTACTTTTTTGGAGGTGGGGGAGCTCCCAGTTATGCTCAGAGTTTACTCTTGCATCTGTGCTCGGGGATTATGCCTGGAAGTGCTCCAGCATTGAAGCCCCCAGGAGACTGAACTCAGGTCGGCTGCATACAAGGCAAGAAACTCACCCACTGTTCCATCTCTCGGGCCCTTTAAAATTCTTTTTAATCTTTCTCTTTCTGATAGCACAATATTAAAAAATTGAATGAAGACAAGGTTTAGAATGGTTTAGAATTACATGAGAAAAGTATCATGTTAAAATGTCATAACTGGAAATGACTCCTGTATGCCGGTTTCAGCTGAAGCGTGGGTGGTAACAGAGACTGGAGGTGGAGCTTGGGGGGGGGGTGGGCGCTTAGGGCACAGATGCTAGTAACATGGGCTTGAATTTCGGCAACTTCTACCTCTGCTGCAGGTAGAACACTTTAGTTTACTTTGTACAAGTGAGAGAGGGGCTGGAGCATAGCACAGCAGGCAGGGCGTTTGCCTTGCACGTGACAGACCTGGGTTTGATTGGCAGCATCCCATATGTTCCCCTGAGCACCGCCAGGAGTAATTCCTGAATGCAGAACCAGGGGTAACCCCTGTTCAAAGCTGGGTGTGACCCAACAACCAAACAAACAAAAAAAGTAGAGTGAGAGCAGCTTTCTGTGTGTGTTTGTGTGTATGTGTGTGTGTACACGCATACCAGAGATCAAACCCAGGGCCTCATATATGCAAGGCAGGTAGGTGTTCCTCCCTTCAACTATATCCCCAGCCCTGGGAGCACCTATTTTGGCCATTCAAAGTAAGTAAATACCCTTTATTTGATTTGGTTTTTGTGTCAGATAGAAAAGTTGAATTTGCCATTGACTACTTTTCATTTGTTTTGGGCTACCTCTGGGGTACTTGGGGGCTTCTCCTGGATCTTTGCTTGGGGGTCACTCTGGCAGTGCTCAGGGGCTAATGGGATGCCTGGTATTGAACCTGGGCCTCCCGCATCCAGAGCATGTGCTCAGCCCGTTGAGTTCTCTCTCCATTCTGTATTGTCCCTATCCTGTAGTTGAACAATCTGAGGCTAAATGGGGCTTAATTATGCTCAAGGTCATCAGAGTAAGTCAGAGCAGTGGGATTGGAGGTAGTGCATCTATCTTTGCTCTCTCTTAGTGAAGATTTGTATATTTGCTCTTTCTGTCCTTTTGTTTTTAGTTTTGGGGTTTTTTTTTGGGGGGGTGGGCATGCCTGACTGTGATCAGGGCTTTCTCCTAGCTCTGTGCTTAGGGGTCTCTTCTAGAGGTCTAGGGGGACCCTATAGAGTGCCAGGCATCAAATTGGGGTCACAGCATGCAGGGTAAGCACCTTACTCTCTGTATTATCTGTCCGGATTTCTTTTGCCAGTTTGAAGTTATCCATCCTGTTTTTGGCAGAAGAAAGGGCATTTGGCAGATACTGGCGCAGACCAGCTAGGAGGAGTCTGGTCATCGCAGTGGTGAATGCTGGCTCTTTCCTCCCCGAGTGTTGTGATCTTGGACACAGCAGCAATCCTCTGAACTTCGGGTAAAATGTAAAATGTAAAATGGAGGCAGCAGCCATAGATTCTACAATGCATGTAAGGCTTCAGGGAACAGATCAGTGCAAAGGCCTGGGAGATGCTCTTTGGGGCATGCAGGGTTCATATTTTTATGTTTCTATATGCCCATTTATGATCAAAGTCTCCAAATTCTTCACTTTTCCAACAGAAGGGCTTCTTCTGCATTTTCTTGCTGAATCTTACTTTGAATTAATAATGTACCAAAGAGACTAATCTTGACCCGAGACTTAGCCTGGGCTGCCTTTCCTGCTGTCCACTCCCAGTTTCTGAGGATCCTTGCTGGAGTGCTGCTACAGGGCTCCCCACCTCACCCCAACCTCCTGCCCCAGGCTGGCATTTTAAGAGGTGTCCAGGAAGAGCTTTGGACTGGTGTGATATCAATACCTGTCTGTCGCGTATTTCCACATATGCACAATTACAGTTATCTTTCACTAAGCAAAGCAAGAGTCCCTTTTGTCCTTTGGGGAGGTCCAGCAGGTGGGTGAGGGACAATGGTGATGTGTGACAGTGATCATATAGAGATATATGATCCAGAGACATAGCCCCGCTGAGGTGGATCAGTATCCCAGATATCACAGCAGTAAACGTGTCTGTCAGATATCACAGCAATAAAAGATCACTGGAGTCCATAGGCTCCTTCAAGGAGCAGTGCAGGTCAGAGAGGGCAGACTTTTAGGGGTGTGTGTGTGTGTGTGTGTTGTCTGTGTCTGAGAAAGCAGGTGTGGGGAGGAAGACAATGCAACAATGTGACTGGGATAGTGAATACGGCCCACTGGCATTAGAACAAAGTTCCAAGGGAGCACGTCACCCTCCAGGGGCTATAAACACACCAGGTGATGGCAATGAGGGAGGGTGTGCCATTAAGATCCTGCAGCATTGTCTTACCAGTCAGAGAACAAGCCTGGCTTGTTGTTTCAGCCCTGCTGGGAACTTTTCAGTTTTCCATGTGACCCATCCGGAACTGTTCTGAGTTTCTCCTGGGCAACCCACAGCCCAGCTGGCCAGCCTTCCAACCACACCACTGAGTTGAAAGAGGAAGAGTTCAGCCTTAGTTTTGGCAGTTGAGATTCATGACTGTTGTGGTCAAACGGCCCTTGGGATGAACTCTTCCTGGCCACAAGAAATGCTCCAGAAATGGCCTGATATGCATGTTTTCCGCAGTTGATCCCAAAGGTAAGGAGTGTGCCACTCAGCATCTTGACCCAGGAGTGCAACTTAAAATCCTCCAGGAGCTACCCCAACCTGAGGTGGTGCTAACATGGTGCCTCCTTAAAAAGAAATGACGTGACCTCAGTGTAAGAAAAATAAATGCAATAAAATCCTCCCGGCTGGGCTGAGGTAACCCTCTGATGTGCCCTGAACGCCAGCCACATGGTGTGCCTGGTTTAGAGATAACCGGTGTGAACCAGCAGCATCGCGCCAGGAGGCTCATTCCATGTGCCTGAGACCTCGGATATTGCCCCTGGAGTAGTTATACGAGCGAATTCTAAGCTCTAGGAACCACTAACGGAGTCAGCGCGGGTCAAATGCGGGAGGCGCCTGCGGTGGGGGCCGTGTAGTGGGGAGGAGGTTAGGAATGTGCTTTCGAAGCCAGTTTCTGGGATCGGACGGACAGATGCGCCGGGCAGCGCTGTCGAGCCCAGAGGAGAGTGCACTGACCCAGGTTGCTCACTGGACCGGCGCTGCTCGCACCTCCACGGGAGCTAAGCTCCAGGGACGGGAAACGAAGGGCCAAGAGCCGGGTGGAAAAGGGGAAAGACTTACACCTCTCTCCTGGGGAGGGGAGTGTGTGTGTGTGTGTGTGTGTGTGTGTGCGCGCGTATGTTAGGGTGTGTGTGTGTTAGGGTCTGTGTGTTTAGGTGTGTGTGCGCGCGTGTGTTTAGGTGTGTATGTATGTGTGTGTGTTAGGGTGTGTGTTTGTGTGTGTGCGTGTGTGTGAAGCGCTGCAGCCTCCCGGAAAGAGAAGAAAAACTTACACCTCCCTCCCGGGGAGTGTGTGTGTACGTATGTGTGTGTGTGCGCGCGCGCGCGTGTGTTAGGGTGTGTGTGTTTAGGTGTGCGCGTGTGTGCGCGCGCGCGCGTCTTAGGGGTTGTGTGTGTGTTTAGGTGTGCGTGTTAAGTGTGTGTCTTTAGGTGTGCGTGTGTTCGTGCGTTAGGGGTTGTGTGTTGTGTTAGGGTGTGTGTGTTTAGGTATGCGTCTGTGTGTTAGGGTGTGGGTGTGTGTGTTAGAGACAGCCGCAAGCCCCTCGCCGCTGCACGGTGGGCGGCGGCCCCTTTAACAGGCCTGACCAATCGCCCGCCCGTTTCCGCGGCCGCTCCCCGGCGCCCGCGGGTAGGGGCTGGATTGGCCGGGCCTGGCGCGCGCCTCGCCCCGCCCCCGCCGCGCTCTGATTGGCGGGCGCGGGCGCGGGCGCGGGGCGGGGCGGCGGGCGGGGCGGGGCCGGGCGGCGGGTGCCGGGGGCGGGCGGCTGGACGGCGGCTGGAGCCCGAGTCGCCGCCGGAGTCGCAGCCGGAGCCGCGGCGGGCGCGGACGATGAGGCCAGCCGCGGACTCGGGGTGAGCGCGCAGGAGGCCCGGCAGGGGGCGGCCGGCGCGACCCCGCGGGGCCCCGGGCACGGCCGGGCGCCGGCGGCTGCCGTTGGCGCTGGGGGTCGGGCCCCGCTCTCGGGCTCGGGCGGTGGCCGCGACGCCCCGGCTGCCCCCTGCGTCCTGAGGGGGCGGTGAGGGCCCTGCGGCCGGTCCCCGCCACCCCCAGCCCCGCGCCCAGACTGGCCGGGGGACTCGGGCTCCGGGGCAGCGGTCCCGGGTGCTGCCCCCCGCGGAGCTGTCAGCGCCCAGCTCCTGCCCGTCGCAGCCCGCGGGCTCGGCAGGCTGACCGGGGGCACCCGGAGCCGCGGCCTAACGCCGGCCGCCCCGGCCCGGGAGGCGGCGTCCGCGGCCGGCCCCGGGGGACGGACACTCGCGCGGCGGCCGGGAGCGGCGGGGGCGGCGGCGCGCCCCCCCCGTCCTCCCCACACCGCGTCCGTGCTGCCCCTTTCGCAAACGGGAGCTTGGAAAACTTGGCCCCGTTGGGGTGGGGGCGCGCCAGGGTGGCCGTGGGCTTGCGTTGTCATGGTGACCCGGGCCGGTGTCGGGGGGTGGGGGGGCAGGGCCGGCGCCCGCCCCTCGCGCCTGTCGCGGGCCCACCGAGTCCGCGCGCCGCTTCGGGGACGCGGAGCGGCGCGGCGCGGGGGACTCGGCACGGACCGGGCTGGGGGTGGGGGGAGTGCCCGGGGCCGCCCTGACCAGGGACGGCCGTCCTTTGGGCGAGTCTGCACACGGGGGGTTCGGAAGGAGCCCTACGTGGACGAGACACGTGCGGAGACCCACCGGGGAAGATGAAGCCGCGACTTGGGGGCTTCGAGGCAGGGGTCCAGGTTCCAGGACCGCCCAGCCCCGTGCCCACCGGCTGGGGAGCTTATCTCTCTCAGCGGGTGTTGGAGCGTGAAACTGCCCAGTTTCTTCTCGGCTCTCATCCCCCCCCCCCAACTGTTTCATTCAGGACAAGTCTCTCCAGTTCTCCCCCAATTGGTGGTTGGTCTAGAACTTAGAGAAGTCAGGATGAGCTTCCTCAAGGGGTGGGGGATAGGGGAGGAATGGGGAGGAGGTGCCTGGATTTCTTTGCCCCTGGGTCTGGCCTCTCTTCCCCCAGAGCATTCGTGGGTGGTTGGAGGTGGGCAGGCTGGGGGCTGCCCAGTGAGCGCCGGTACACACTTATCTCCATGGCAAAGTGCTCCTCCTGGGAGGAAGGAGATTAAGACGCCGACTCTGATTATAAACACCGCACTGAGTGGTTGGGGGACAAGTGACCCCTAGGACTCGGGCAGACAGAGTGGGGTCGGAGTAGTGAGGGTGAGGCTGGGGGCCTGGTTGGGGGGTTGGAAGAGCTTCATGTGAACGTTGGAGCCTTTGCTGGTAAGTGCGTCTTGGGTGTTAGAGAGTTTCAGGGCCTGAGAGGTGGCTCAAAGGGCTGGAGCCCAGGCATGGCCCCCTGGGTGTGGCCCCTGAGTCCCATTGAACTGCCCTGTCTGGTTCCGGGAGTATTACTCCGAGTGGCCCCAGCCCGGAGCACTTCTGGGAGTCCCTTTCCCCCCAGGAAATTATGTTTTTTGAATACACTGGAAAAGGGGCAAGAAAGATTAAACTTTTAGGCAGAATAAATGAAAAGAACATTGTGGTTAAAAAAAAAATGAAGTTATAAAAATATTCAGTCACTTTGGGGGGTTGTTTTGTTTTGGGTTTACACTCAGCTGTGCTCAGGGCTTACTCCTAGCTCAGCATTCAGGAATCATACCTGGCGGTGTTCGGGGGACCATACATGGTGCTGGGAGTTGGCCATATGCAAGGCAAGTACCTCACCTGCTGTACTATCTCTCTGGTCCTCACTCAACCCATTTTTATTCAGAGTAGACCTGGTACTAGAAACTTGGAAGTGCCACTTTTTATTTATTTATTTTTTTTGCTGAGGAGGCACTTGGGTCTTACTCCTAGCTCTATACTCAGGGATCACTCCTCGTGGGTTTGGGGGACCATATGGGGTACCAGGAATCAAATCCAGGCCAGCTGCATTTAAGGCAAATGCCTAACATGATGTTCTATTCTCTTTGGCCACTAGACACTTGGAGGTGTCATGGATAAGACAGAGAAGAAAAGAGGGCGGAGAGTTTGTTTCTCTAGGCCATTTGATTTGCCTTCCCTCCAAGTGGAAAACTTTGTCTTTGAAGTTTTTCTGACACCTTTGAAGAAAAAGGAGAAATTCACAAATGGAATAATGGATCAATTCTTCACCCTGTAGATCAATTTCAGAATCAAGTTAAATCTTCAGATTAAGTTTCTGTCTGGCTCAGGATGAAAACTATATTCATCCCTTTATCTATTGGCCAATGTCTGGATGGTGTTCCTGTTCTCTGCTCCCTTTCTGTCAGTTCATTTATTCAGAAGTCTGGAAGCTCATGACACCAACACAGTCTTTGTCTTCCAGGTGCTTCCAGTTCATCTCTTTGAGAGTCATTTCAGTGTCTGTCTACTGTATGACATTCTCCCCCCCCCCCCTTTCTATTCCAGTGCCCCCTCTCTCCCTTTCTCTCTCCCCTTCCCTCCTCTCGATGAGAATTGTTGAGGTCATGAGGAATGTTTGTTCTTTGGGTTTGTCCTAAATTAGAAGGGCATGTGTTGATCTCCAACCCTTCCAGTGTACTTTCTCCCTTTATCTCTCAAGCTCTCCAGCAGTCCCCCGAGGGAGATGGATGATGATAGTGGTCTTAGTTTATGGGAGGAAGACAGTGAGGCACAGAGCATCTCAGTGACTTGCCTAGGGTTAATAAGCTAGTTAGATATTAGCTGGTTAGGAGCAAGGGTTTCAGTCTAGAACTTTCTGATTCCAAAATGTGCCTTTTCCATGGAACTGCGTAGCTTTCCCGAGAAGAGAAGCAGCAGCTTACCAGAGATGATGTAGCATACAGTGCCTTCTTTGGGTGCCTGAGAGGTCAGCCTCAATGGTGAGAGAATCGCCATAGGTGTGTGGTCCACGTGGAGGAGAGGAGGCGCGGTCTCCTGCCTCCTGTCTCAGTGCATCTTTGGCTAATCCAGGTGCCCATTGAGAGTGTGAGTTTAGTGTCACCAACAGATGCTCAGACTCCCAGGTCTGTGTCCCCCAGTGTGTTGCCGACCACTTCCTGTTACTTTGGGCACACTCCTTTCTCTCTCCGTGTTCCTCAGTTTTGCTATCTATAAAATGAGACAGTGCTCACATGTCAACAATGCTAAGTGAAATCTGCCTATTTTTACATTTCTGGCAGAAATGTGTCTTATAGTCTATAAGGTTTTATTTGTCGCTGGCAGTTGACTCATTTTAACTTTTCTAAATTTTAGGCACTGTGATGACTTCTTAAAAAAAAGACACAAAATATTGATGTGCTGTATGGACCTCAGATGAGGTGAACTTTGGTTTTAAGTTATGGGAGGTTATGAAGATTCTGTGCAGTCTTTCATGCCCCGAGTACATACTGAGCACCCATTCACAGCTGCTGCTGCATCACAGAATGTCTGGGTGAGGGTAGGTGTCTGGGGAGTACATCTGGGAGCATCCTGGAAGATTTGCAACCTGGAATGTTTTCTCCTTTGCCTAGAGTTCTATCCTTGGGCTGACTCTTGTCCCCACAAGAAGCATTAACTCTAGGAGCTAATGAGCCGTAGTCAGACAGCTCTTTCTGTCCTGGCTATTTATTAAGGTCTCTGTCAATTTTAAATCCCAAGTTAAAAATTAGTATTGTTATAAGAAGATTGGAAGCTAGCTGGTGTGAGTCTTAAAGCACGTCAAGGTTATATCTAGGGTTCTCTGTGCCCCTTTCCTAACTTCTCAGAATGCTTCATTGTATTGTGGGAAATGCCCTTGAACACCAATCACCAGGAGATGCCCTGCTCTGCACAACATAGGGATGGGGTCTGAGACTTTGACCTGCTAGCCCCTGTGCTCTGGGGCGTGTCACCTCACCTCTTGACTTGGAGGGTCTCATCAGAAATGTGGCAGTCAGAGACTGTGTTTATGGAAGGATCTGAGGAACTGAATGGATGGATGCCAACTTCTCTGTTGGCTTTTGCTTTGTCAGCAGACGGCAGCAGGTAGGTGTGAGCAGTGTGAGTAACTGTCATTTCTGGCTCCTGGCTGTGTGCTGGGCACTGTTTCTGCTCTCAGACCTCTCTTCCCTCTCTCTGGGTAGCAGATACAACGTGCCCTTAAATAGCATTTTTTTGTTCAATGTAGTTTCACTGTAATGACGAAAAAAAGAATCCCAGTGATGGTGAATGAAATGATGCTTTCTGAGGACCTGGTTTCTTACTACTATCTCACAGGACACAGTGACCTTACTCCACTGTATCGGTCTTATTTTCAGGTGTGGGGAGACTGATTCAGAGAAAGTGAGTGACTGCCCAGAATTAGTTAACAAGGCTTGTCTTGGGACTAGAACATGGGTTTTTCAAGTCCTTGGAAAAGAAGGGTTTTGTCTGTTAGTTCTTTTTATAAAGGATGTCAGAAACTGGAGCACTGTCAGTGACAGCAAAATTGTCAGAGAGAAGTGTCACCTTCCCAGGAAGCTGGTAGGATGGCAGGCCTGGCTGGGCTCCATCAATCATGCAGTCTTTGTCAAGTTTGCCTGGAGAACTGGCTCTGAGAACTTTGCACGGAGATTACCGGAAGGGGCTTGGGAGATGATTCTACTGTTAGAGCGAGTGCTTGTCTACCACATAAAATGCCCTAACAGTGATACTAGCTACCCATGCCCCAGGACCACTGGATGTGACCCAGGAAAAATGTTTCAGAGGTGATTGGAAGTGACAGTTGAGTGCCTTGTAGGTTTACCCCAGCAGTGGGGACACCAAGCAGAGCTTTCTTTCGTCATAAACTTAACCCCTTAAATTGTTCCTACAAGCAGCCTTTCAGAATCACATTACACAAGTTTCCTTACTCTTTTGGTGGTTTAAAGCTGATATAAGTTGACTTGTTCTCTTACTCAGTT